GTCCAAGTGATTCAAAGCATTATACAGTGCCTTGTAAAATGCTAGAGAAGAATAAAACGGCCTCAGAACAGGAATGCGAGGTGAAGATCGAAGTAAGTTTTCCTCGCGAAGTATAAGATCAATCCACGCTAACTTTTGGTTTCAAATGCACAAGAAACTTTCCGTTATTCACCCGAGTGAGCGGCGTCTTGATTAAATTAGTGTCTTCTTTGGCAAGGTTGACGAGGTCGTGGTTTCGGTTAACAGGGGAATGGCTGGTTGGCGAGCGAAAGCTTAATTTCTTTATGGTTACTGTATCATGGAACTATCCTTTTCCTTGATCTACCTCAGCTTTTTTTAGCTTTTGTTCCGCCCTTTAAACTCTGCGCAGACTGGAACTGTTCGCCTGCTGTTAAATTCCAATCATTACTTACGCAGACCCAGTTTTTTATATGATCCACAGAGGAAAAACTAAATCATCCAAAATCGCGCAGTCCTTCTTATTTCTCGTATAAGCACAATTATTCGCGCAGTACTTACTGTCATCCGTGCGGCCACGGGATTTGGGCAATAGTTGGCGCGTGATAAAGGACATCCACTGCACACGAATTCATTGAAGTATCTATTCTTTCATCCCGGAACCAGGAATACATAAAAAAAAATTATGCCCGTATTGATATTACTTTGCTGGTGTTCAATCTTGCCATTCATCCAAGAGTTCTAAGGGATCCAGAAGAACAGAAAAATCCCACTTTAAAAAATTTTAATGTTCAGCCTTAAGCATTTTTTCGCTGTCCAATATTTGTAAGTCTGTGTGAATAGGGTCTATAATGCTGAGGAAAACTACGTTGCACAAGCTAACAAAACCGCCAATTGATGGATATGATAGCCCCAATTCGTCTTCTTCATCTTTATCTTCCATGACCGCGTCTGCTTTCGGGTCGCAGAGGCAGACACGTCAGACAGAGCTTCCAACGTTACCGATCCTGCGCCAGACTCCGAGCTTCGGCAATAGACAAATGGAGTCTGGAACAGACTCCTTCCATATATTTACACCAAGTTAATCTTCGCCATCCCCTGAGCCTTCTGCCGGTAGGTTGGGCAAGAAACACTTGCACAGCCTTCCTTTCTGGTGGCATACACAGCACGCGCAAAAACCATCGCAGCGGTGAGTTCTCAGTCTGAAAAGGCTGCGCCTGTAGACCAAGGCTCTGGCGGATTTCTCTACTCCGGACCATGTCAAAGTGCCTAAGGCCAGCGTCTTCTCTCAGAAAGCCCATTTCAGCCGCTTATAGCACGGATCGAAGGTTTTAATCATGGTCCAAGAATCATGACCGAAAGTAAGCCCAGGATAATAATCGATTTGAACTCCGAGAGCTTAGTTTTCAGACTCAGCTCTGCTTTAGTCACAATGGTTACGTTAGTTCATTCAGAACAACACTGGCTATTCTAATCCGCTGATCGATCTCCTTCTCAAATTTTCCATCACCAGTAAATACAATTCCGAGGTACTTGAACTTCTTCACCTGCTCCATTGCCTCTCCGTTAATCTGAAGAGAGCAACGGGCAGGAGAACGAGAAAACACTAGACTTTTCGTTCTGGACACATCCACATTCGTGCCTGTCATATTGTATTCAACTCCGAACCATTACAGAGAGCTTTGAAGATCAGTTTCAGAAGAAGCCAATAAAACAAGATCGTCTGCAGACAGCAACCTTCTCGTTGATCCACTCATCGTCCTGGTTGATCCAGACTATTCTACCCATGAACAACACAAGTAGAAGAGGGGAGAGAACGCAGTCCAGTGCCAACGCTAGAAGCTTTCAACTTGACTTATCTACCATGACGCAATATTTCTTTGTCAGCATATATCAACCAGTCATCCATTCCATATGTTCGCAGGCATGCTCATAAACTGTCGCGCGGGATCTGATGATAGGCTTTTTCTAGGTCAACAAGACGGATCGGCGAACTCCCACGGTTTCTCAAAAATCTAGCGTAGTGCAAATATATGGTCATAGGTGCTTCGACCG